GCAGCCTCTGAGCTGGAGGGGGTAAACTGCTCACCATAGACAGTCCCACCTTGGGTCACTGACAGCATTAAAGTAGGAAGTGGGAAAAACATTCCCCTGTGAGCTCTGTCTCAGGGGCATCTGAGAGTCAGGAGGACCAGGTTCAGTGGCAGCTTTCCTCAGAATGTTCTCACCTGCAGCTAAGCATGTTGGGGGATCCTTTCCCTTTCCCTTGGGTTTTAGTTCCAGTGATGAAAGCTCATCTCGCCGATGAGTAAGCCCCTTCATTTTATAGAGATGTTATAAGTGTAGTGAGGATGCAGTGACAACATTCGGACAAAATACATGTGACGAAAGAACACCTGGCAAACATGTGTGAATATATGTGAATGACTGTGCAAGGAGGCCCCCAGGCCGTGTCATGGGAGCCATCAGCTTCTACCAAGCACCAAAAAAAAAAAAAAAAAATCATCCTTGGAATCCACGTGAATGAATCCTGTGATACACACTCTTTTTCTGCCTTTATTTTTTAAAACATGTACAGGCAGGTCACCTGCACATAACTGTGTGTGCACTGTATGCATGCAGGACTCACAGAGGTCAGAAGAGGGCATCAGAGTCCCTGGACTGGAGTTACAGACAAATGTATATGGGTGCTGGAAATCAAATCCAGGCCCTTTGTAAGAGCAACTAGTGCTCATAACCACTGCTGTCTCTCCAGGCAACTCGTGCTACACACTCTTGGTCGGCACGATGTTTCTGAAAGTCTTCTGGCCTCAGAAGGCAATCATTTTGTAAGGGTTGTTCCTAGATAATATTGCACATTTTGCCAAGACCAATAAATTTCTTCTTATTCACTTCTTCGTAGATATGTAGGGTACTTTCAGTTTGGAATTAAAACTGCTCAGAAAATTCTGGAAAACAAGCCCCCGAGACACACACACACACACACAAACACCATACACACAATGTGGTTTATCACACTATTGGCTTTGTTTTGTTTTTGAGACAGGGGTCTTTGGTATTCCAGGCTTGCTTCCAACTTGCTACACAGCCAAGGATGACCTTGAACATCTAATCCTTCTGTCTCCACCTCTCAAGCACTCAGTTTGCCTGCGTACACCACACATCTGGTTTCTGCAGGCTGAGGGTAGAACCTAGGGCTGTTGTGCATGCTAGCCAAGTCCTCTATCAACCAAGCTATATCTTCCAACCAACTAATTGGTTTGGAATTTTAAGATGTGCACACTTCCAGGAAGTCAAAGAAACAGTCTCTATTTGGGTTAGATAGCATGGATTTCCTTGTAGTTTATTCTCTGGATGCCTCTGCCTGTGGGAAATCTCTTTTAAAAGGGCCATTTTCCCCATTGCAAGACTACCTTTTGTAGTGAAATTCCGAAGCAAAATCTAAGAAACCAATTTATACCTAATTGATTCCTAAAATGAGTCCACTTTCTTTTTCCGCGGAAGCTGAACATAAGGGCTCATTATAAACCCTTAATATACACATCTGCTCTGTCCATGCAAAGACAATGATGCAAAGAGCATCTACGGGCAGCAAGAAGGCCAGAATTCCTTCCCCGCAGACAGCCCCTAATGCCAGGCTTGCTTTAAGGATTGGAGCATGATGGTGCAGCAACGTTTCCCACAAGAAATAAATTCATCCCTAGGCAAATGCCCAGTGACACATTCTTATCATTATCTCAATTTCTGGTGGTGGACTTCGTCGTGCACTAGGTAAATGGGTTCATACATTTTTTTTTTTAAAGGTGCATCAGTGGCTTGTTGATTAGCGAGATGGAATTCATGACAAAAGCAAATATTGAGGAAGGATTTGTTTGGGCGTGGTCCAGAGGAACAGCCCATCAGTTGGGGAAGGTTGGGTGGCAGGAGGCTCTCAGGTAGCAGGAGTAACGCAGCAGCAGATGCGCAGGGCTGGGGCCTCTCAGAGATGGGAAGCAAAATCAGCTAGAAACCCCAAGGACTACCCTCATCCCCACCCCCCTGCAACCTATTTCCTCCAAAGAAGCTCCACCTGCCAAAGTGCCCACAATTTTCCCCAATATCATCAGCAGCTGGGAACCAAGTGAGCCCATGGAGAGGTATTTTTTATCTAAACCAGGATAACAATAGCCTTAGCAACAGTTGATGTTATTGGCAAGCTGAAAAACTCAGAGTATCCCTAGACTCAACTAGAATGCCTTCCTCACATAAGTGAGGTTTCAAATCTGCCAATCAGAGCATCTCATCTTTTCCTCCTCTAGGTGTACACTGTGGGGATCTTCACTGATACTGTACCTAGAGATACCGTCCAACCAGCTCCCAGCGCCACTGCGGCTGAACACTGACCTCCTCTGCACACATCTCTATCTGACTCTGTCCATGATCACTGGTGCCAACCCCACACCTCCTGGCAGCCTTAAAGTGACACGATTAAGAAACAGATAGTAGATTTTAGCCAGGTGGTGGTGGCGCACTCCTTTAATCCCAGCACATGGGAGGTAGAGGGGATCTCTGTGAGTTCATGGCCAACCTAGTCTACAAGAGGTAGTTTCAGGACAGCTGAAACAATAATACATAGAAGCCCTATCTTGAAAAACCAAACAAAAGAAAAATAAAAAAAAAGTAGATGTTATTTTTATGGGTTTACAATAAGATTTAGAGGAAGCTTCCTGACAGAATTCCCAAAGGCCAGAGTTGCAAGATCAGATCTCTAAAAAGGCATGTCAGGCAGGAACCCTTGCCATCTGCTGTTACACAGCCCCATGTCCTACGCACACCCTTCTGGTCACCATCTGAGTGGCAGGCTATCTTTGTGATGAAACACCATGACCAAAGGCGACCTGGGGAGGAAAAGGTTTATTCCACTCACAGGTCCATATCACAGCTCATCATCAAAAGCTGTGAGGGCGGGAACCTAAGCAGGGCAGGAACCTGGAGGCAGAAGCTGACACAGAGGCAGCTGAGGAACACTGCTTTCTGGCTGTTTCTCATGGCTTGCTCTGCCTACTGTCTAACAGAAACCAGAACCAGAAGCCCAGCGGTAACCCCACCCATAATGGGCTGGGTCCTCCTGCATCAACTGCTAATTACGAAAACGCCTGGCAGCTGATCTTACAGAGGCATTTCCGCAACTTTCAATAACTCCAGTTTGTGTCAAGTTATCATAAAATCAGCCAGCCCACAGGCCCTTTCCCCCAACCAGATCCCAACACCCTCTTGGGCCTGAGAAGTAAAGGGGCTATCAATCAGAACTGGGGGAAATCTAGGTTCCAAGGGCCACTTTAAAGAGTGAGAGGGACATAGTCTAGATTCCCCCGGGTTTGGAATTCCCTCCCTAACCACCTGGCCCAGCTAGATATCAGAGAAGCCCCGGAGCCTGCAGCTGGGTGCCCACAAAACCAGATACTCCAATGGAGCTGGGGTAGGCACCCAACTGCAGATTCAGGGTCCTCCCTGATATCTAGCTGGGCCTGGTGGTCCATTCTACAGAAACTTTCTCTTACCAAGATCATGGGTCTGTATCTCAAGGACTACTGAGAGAGACACATGGAAAAAGGAAGATATTTTAGGATATTTTTCCTTCTAGAACATGTGGACACATGACTCTACATGGTCAACACAGTATCTCATAGAAAGCCCTTTAAAAGAGCTGAGTCTCTATATGGAGAAGGGAGCGAGTCTCTATCAGCACATTGCATGAGGATAGAGCAATGTGCAGCCCTGGAGTACTAAGATGGAATACAGGGATAAAAGAATATGTAGGAACAAGAAAGAGCCTGTCTCCTATCTGGCAAGGTGTGTGGTGGTGGTGTATGTGTGTGTGTGTGGGGGGGGGGTGAGTAAGAGCAGTTCATATCTGAACTCCCAATTCATGGGCCATTTCTTACCACCATGCTCTGCCCCCCTCTTGTAAAACATAGGGCTACTCTCAAGTATGTCCTAGGATTAGGTAGGGCTAGGAGACCTGCACTCAGGGATATGTAGTCCCAGTGCCTGCCACTCAACCCTGCTAGGCATCAGGGAGCCTGTAGCTGGAAGCTCACAAGACCAGACTGGTGGAGTTGGGGATAAGGGAGGAGAGCAGTGTGTTTGTTCATGAGAAATGTCTTCCCCAAGTGTAGTTAACTCTGATCAAAACAAACACAACTACCCCCTCCCACTGCCTCTGCAGAGAAAGGGAGACAGTGGGTCAAGGAGGTTCAGACGAGGGGCAGTAAAAATGTCCCCATATGGTAAAAATGTCCCCAAATCATCAGCATGCAAGAGACCTGCCGGGCAGGCAGGCAGACAAACACTCTTGACTTTGTCCCCTAGATCACTAAGCAGGTTTGCCTTCCAGTTCTTATTTGAAGGGTGGATTCCTAGTTGATCACAGACATAGAAATGCAGAAGGGGAGCCCTAACTCCCAACCTCTCCAAAGACAGATCTGCAGGTGAGGGGGCAGGCGCCTGGCCCCCATGACCACTCCCACCTAGGGCTTTCACCACCCAGCAGGGGGAGGTTGGTTGGACACCTCTGGAAGCCATCAAACAGGGTCTCCTGCAGACAGCCTGCTCCAGATGGAGAAATCAAAAGGGCCCGGCGCCTGCCTGCAGGCTCCTGAGGTGGCTCCCGGGTAGACTCAACAAGTTCCAGGGGCCTCGCAGCGCCGCCTGCAGCCCAGAAACCCCAGGATGTGGCAGTGGAGCTCCGCGCGCAGGCGGCTGCCAGCGGCTGCTTCCAGCACCTCCTCCTTCTCCTCCTCCTGCCCGAGATCTGGCTCCGGCTGGAGGGGCTCCTCCACGCGCCGGGCCCCCGCCCCACGCACGCGGCCCGGCCCGCCCCCGCCCCACCCCCGCCCCACGGGCCCCGGGGCTCCGCCCGCCTCGGTGGCAGGCGAGCGCACAGTCTGCTGGCGCGCAGCTCCGGGCGCCCTCTCTTCAGTCCTCTGCCGCCCGGCTCCAGAGTGGCCAGGACCTGGAGCAGCGGCCAGGACTCCCTTCCCGCTCCCTCCACCTCCCCGCCCCCTCCGCCCGGCCCGACTCCCGGATCTCGCCGAAGACAATTGCAGTAAATGAGGACATCTGAGGAGCACGGAGCCGGGTGGCTGTGGCTGGCTTCGCCGCGCCGCGATCGGGCGAGCGCGCGGGCGTCCCCGGAGCCGGCCGAGCCACTGCCTCCCCGCGCGCGTCGCTGAGCAGGAGCCGGAGGGACTCGAGCTGCGGCGCGGGGGCCGGGCGGGCCGGGCGGGCCGGGCCCGTGGCAGTGGAGGGGGCGGGCGGCGGACACGCAGCTGGCCAAGTCCCCGGAGCCGATCCTCCTTCGGCACGAGCCCAGCGATCTTTGCCGTGGATGCTCTGCCCCGAGTGCTCCGTGCCGCGCCAGGCTTGCCAGGGTCCACGGCAAGACATGCCCGAGCCCGGCGCTGCACCGACCTCCACTTATCAGTAAGCAGCCAAAGGTAAGCGGAGCCCAATATACCCTCCCGCGCCCCGGAGCCCGCTGCACTTGACCGCGGGCAGATGGGTGCAGACCCTGACTCGTGCGCACGCACTCGCCCCTAAACCGGCTTTGCCTGGGTCCGGGACGGGAGGGTGTAGCCAAGAGCAGACCCGGTGGCGGGCAGTGGCAGGGGTGGGGGGCGAGGTTACGCAACTGCCTCTGGCAGGACCTGGTCGCCCAGGGGCATCTGGCAACTTTGGCGACAGCATGGGAGGAGCGGGAATGTGATGTCTGTTCTAGACAAACGCCACAGCCTTGTGAGCACAGGGCATCCTTAGCCAGGCAGAACTAGGCAGGAGGGGGTGGGGGCTCTGGGGAGAACCATCTCTCTGGAATGTTCGAGGTTCTGAAAGTATTATCCAAACTAAAGCGAACAGCCAAGTACAGTATAGCTGATTAACTTCAGGGAGATGGTGGGGGGTATAAGTCTGAGCAGAGGGGCCCTGCCGCCTGCCGTTTAGCAGAGACCAAAGCAGGAGCGAAGGCAAAAAATGCCCACGTGAAATGTTCGTCTCTCTTGCTTAACTGGTATTGGCACCTTCTCCGGGCTGCGGGCTGGGGTCTGTACCCACTGAGCTTCTACGTGTCTGGCATCCCATGTCTGACCTGCACAAGCATGGGAAACCAACCTATGCTGCAGAACCTAGGGAGCTTAGTGAGGGCAGGAGACAGGAGGGAACAAGGGCCAGACCCAAGCAGGGGCAGAGACTAGAGCCCAAAGTCAAGAATAAGACTCTGTATCTTGCTTGTTCATGCTCGGGGTTCCAGGCTAGTGTCTCCACTGCTTGAAAAAAGAGCCTCTCCCTGTGACCTCAACATTCTACTACCCTGAAAATATGCCACAAGGAGATGGAGCCAGTGATAAAGGGATGCCAGGAATGGGGGAGGAGAGGCACCCCTGGAGTAAATAACGGGAAAAAATGGGTGCTTTTTACTCCCTGCAGACCAGGGCTCAGATCCCTTTCTCTCTCTTGGTGCAGGGCTGAGGCTGGGGGATTGGCTGCCCTCCTGGGCTCATGAGCTAGGAGCAGTAACAGAAGCAGTTTAATTTGACCTTGTCTGCATGGGTGCTGAAATTCTGCCGAAGCATCCCGAGGTGAAACTGGCCAGAGTGGGAAGGAACTTTGGGCAAGCCCTGCCTTGGCTAAGAACCTACAAGATCATTTCAGAGCACCAAGGCATGGGCTAGCACCGGGTTGAGGTCAGCCGCGTGAAGGTTTTCCCTTGGAAAAATGACTTGATTGGGGGTTACTTTTTCACAACCTGACCAGGGCACAGTCAAGGTTACAGGACTAGGGGTTTGACTAAAAATGCCATTCAGATCATAAAACCTAGATCACCCCCCGCCATGAGAAGTTCATAAATAAAAAGGATACTGCCTCCTGAAGCTGATGGTAAAGGCTGAACAGCCAGTAATCATTTCACTCCGCAGAGGCGGAACATGCTGGGTTTTACTATTCATGGTGTGCTATTTCTTACATTCGCATCCTGTTGAATGTTACTTTTCAAAGTTCATATTTATCTTTGCAATATTTTTTTGCAAGCAAGATTAGCAAAGTGCACAAAACAGCTCAAAGGAAAAAAAATGCAAGTCCTGCCATCTGCATACCTCACCGGTTATTGATAATTTACAGTCCGGGTTTACTACTTCCATGAGAGGGTACTGCCCTCCTGGACGGGGGGTTTATCAGAACTGAATCTGGGAGGGAGCGAGCCCAGCATAGCTGTCACAGTATTTGGCATAAATTATGTGAGCCATAGAGAGTTTTGTTTTCTTCATTAAATCCATCTTTCCATTAAAAGGTAGAGTGATTCAATTTAATTTTTTTTTTATCTGCAAAGGTTCCTCTTAAAAGACAGGATGTCCTTGAAAAGCAAAGAATGTCTTAAAAGGACAACAGTTGCCATGATTTTCTCTTTTATTGTCGTGATTAAGACACTGGGGTTTTGACATAAATCAGGTCCATTATCACATTGAGAAACAGAACTAGTGGTTACGACGCAGGCTAGTAAGCACTAGAAAGCTCTATGAAAATCTGCCCATCCCGTTACCTCAGTTTACCACAGGGCTTCTCTGCTGCGGCTTATTTTGCCCCATGAAAGAAATTTTAGACTTTTGTCTTCCCTTTTGTAGACAAAATTTTAAGAACTACGTAAGTAAATGAATGGCTTGTGCTGACAAATCTCCATCTCCAGAAAAGACCCCTGCACAGTAGAGTTCACAGAAAATAACGAGAAGGCTGGGGCATACCAATCTATCCTAGCAAGAGGCCAGGTACTTATCAACATTGCTAGATGTTTGCATCCCCTTTTGTTCCATTGCACGGCTATCTGGCTGAGAGAGACAGATACCGAACTCCCTGGTAGAAGCAGATTACTTACATTGGGTTCAGACAATAATGCTCAGAAATGATCGGAGGCATAGCACGGTGCAGCAGTTCTGAGGACAGGCCTTGCCACTGAAGAGCACTAACAGAGCCACCAGAGGCTTTAATTCTAACACTCTAGACTAATCCAGCAGACACCTAAGCCAGAGATGCTGTTAACAGATCATCTTGGGTACCGCACCGATTATACAGAATGGAAGTGGTTCACATCCTCCTGGGAATGAAAGGCCATAGGACTTCCAGACACAAGAAGGACTGTTTTCCACAGAACCTTCGTAAATGTGATAGCCGGGTTCATCACCCCACCCTCTACTGTAGTTCCAGAGATCTGCATTCTTCAACCCCAGATTTGCTGACATAATTTATGATGAGGAACTTTCATGTTTGATTTTAATATTTCATAACATTATGGAGTGGCTTCAATATTTTAAAGCAGAATTTAGTATGAGCGATGTGACATGACAACACACACGTCTCCACGTGTTCAGAGAAGCCTTTATCCAGGCTTAATCTCCCTTTATGTAAATACGCTAAAACACCATGACCTTTAATCAGTACACTTTTTTTAAAAAGTGCTTTTCTTATACCTTGAGGACGGAATACAGATTTGTACGAGTTACAGTGGCCCTGGCAAATCATATAAACAAGTTGTCTGGATGACCTCACAAATTAGCAGTGTGGCACACAAGGTCTGGGTTTGAACCTCTCAACCATGTCTGAGGATATAACCGTTTCATTCCCCGAAGGTACAGAGGGCATGGTGGGGTCATGGAGGCAACCAAGATCCCACCCTCAGATTAAGGAACATCAGAATGTCAGAGACGTCTCCTAGTCATTCAGTCACCTGGGTCCTAAGCCATCAGGATTTGCAGCCTGACCTGGAGACTACTCAGTTCCAGCTGGGCATGAGAGAAACCTGAACTTGAATATGGAGAAAGTAGAAATAGGGGACAAGAAAGAGCTGTGTTTCTAAATTACCCCACAAACCTTGTGGATAGTATACTACTACTTCATGAGGATTTGGAAAGAATTCTCTCTGAAGTAATCATTTGGATATTACTTTTGTAGAACAGAGAGCCGAGGATTTGAAGGACGGCATATTCATAGGCGTGTCCAGTGGCCACATCATTCTGGGATTGGGAAGGCTGAGGAAGAAAAGACTAGAGAGAGAGGCTTATCCATGCAGGGTGTACAGTCACAGAAGTTCCACTATTTTAACAAATGAAGCAAAGAAACAACAACCAACAGTGACCCCAACAGCACGTCAAAATGCTCCTCGTAGTTTGCATTGGAGTTACCATGGAAAACTCCAGTCCAGCCTTTGATAATCTAGCCTAGGGCATAAAAATGAAAGCAGTACACTACAGACCAGGAGGGGTGAGAGAGAAAGCTGCAGAACGCCGAAAACGTAGCAAGCAGCTTTGCAAATGAAAGTTGATTTCTCTCTACTTGAGTGACCCAGAGAAGCAACAGGGCAGGCTGATGTTGCGGCCCTCGTGTCAGCAGCTGTGAAGAGGAAACTCTAAGGAACAGCAGACCCATTGCTCACTTGGTATTCCTAGTCCATTCCAGCAAGTGACACAGGTCCCCTATGCATTGTTCTTGGAAGTATCCCGAACGGGTCAACCGTCCTGCTGTAAAATCTCTTCCACGTGTTTTCAGTGGGTAGATTCTAGACAGCTCATAGCATCTGCAGCCTGCTTCATGAGATCTGCTTTTTTTTTTTTTTTTTTTTTTTCCCTAGTGCTTTTAGGAATCTTGGAAATTTACTGGCACTATAAAGACCAGACTCTTAGAAGGGAGTGGACATGGGCAAAGTAGACAGATAAGCAACAGGGGATTTCAAGACTGCAGGAAAAGCCTTCAAGGAATCTGGGTCCAGCAGGAAGAGAAGAGGTGACTAGGATGTGGCAAACATGCAAAGACATCTAGATTCACAAGAAAGAATCAGGATGGACAGTTCTGGTGTGAGTGACGCCTTGACTGACTTCAAGTGTCAGGTTGAGAGAGGATCCTAGGCCCAGTGCATAGATACCAGTGCTTATACCAACTGGGTGTTACAAGAAGAGGAAGAGACTAGCAAGGGAAGAATGAGGAGTGACATTTGGCAAAGGTTTGGGTTTTAGCATCACAGGGTGCTCGGACATGGTTTGAAGCCACTTTAAGAAGGACCCAGAAGGGCAAGAGAGGCCTCCCAGGATGCTTTCAGCAAGAGTGTGTATCATAACTAAGTGTTGGTATCTAGATAGAAACCAGAAAAAAGGAACCAGAGGCCAGCTGAGAAGGTGCCAGGGGTGAGAATTGACTAGTGCCAAACGTGGCTGGTAGCACTGGGGTTGGATAGACAGGGGCCAGCTATGACAGATCTTTAACAGTGGAATCCTGTACCATGGCAACGGTAGAGGGCTAACTGAAGTTCTACCCAGGGGTTGAGGAGCCAGCAGGAAAAAGGGGTGGTGATTCCCTGGAATTTGAGACTGGGTATTCAACTGGAAATACCACATGAAAAGGTGAGGTTTTTTTTTGTTTGTTTGTTTGTTTGAAATCATTTCTCTTAACTCAAAGCATCAAA